GTAAAGTGCAGCCCCTGTGCCCACAACCTCCCTCAAGACTATAACCTGGGGGATCACCCCCTCTTCCTTTTGTAGCCTGTAGTGATCATTTTTTTTATATCAGACTGCTGCTTTGAGACTATAAAAAAAAATGTAGCATCCTGCTGCCCCTCCACCAGACGTTAAGATTCAATACTAAAAATACCCTCACATCTGGGACTTCAGCCCCTAAAGCCGCCCCCCAGCAATGACTCTGTTAGAAAAGGTCCCAGGGACTTTTAGCTTCAGGGTTTTTTAACTCTATCCTGTTTTTGAGGTCTGGTGGGATTTAGATTTTCTAATAAATCCCAAATTGTGCTTTTATGTTTGTAAGATAATAGCTAAAATCCCACTTGAACATGGAAGACTTGCTTGAGGATATGTATACTATCTAGTCTGTTACAGCTTTTATAAGGATATGTTCGACAACTGGAAGGTTATTAGATGTTTTTTGATTCCTGTGCCCCTGATAGTTGGTACATAGATACATACATAAAAACATATAGATTTTTTGTATATGTGTATACAGGCAAAAGTGCATAGTTCTCTGTTAATGTCATCATCACTATATCCATTAAACTAGCATGAAAAATGTATTATTTACATTTATTTTCAATTACGTGTGGATATAACATTTTCCTTTCAATTAAATAATAAAATATATGACTTATTCAGCAAACCACTTATTAAAGGAAATAAATGTAGTGAGCAATACTGACAGGTTGATGTTAGCATGTTATAGATTTTATTATATAAATTGTAATATCTGACTACATTTTTAAAATGCTTTCCTGCAGTCCTCCATAACAGCTGGAATATATCAAGTTACCTCACAGAAAGAACAGATATGCTTTCAACTTCTTTGTCACAGGGCCAACATACTATTTAAAAAAAATTAAAAATAAATATATATATATATATACTGTTGTAATCAAAATTATTCAACCCCCAAATAAGGTTTATTAAAGAATCCCTCACAACCACACACATATGTAAAACAGGTGTTGTCGCAAGCACATCTGATGCAGCTAATGAAGGGCTTCATTAGTTTCCCCAGGTGTGCTTCAGCTGCAAAACTTGAAATACCTGAACTGGCTAGGGGTTTGTTGGGTGTCACATTTGACTGCATGCTAGAAATATGGCAAATAAGAAAAATAAGTCAAAAGAATGGTCCACAAACTTAAGAGAAGAGATCATCGCCCTTTCACAGAGAAGGAACAGGGTACAAAAAGATATCGAAGGCACTGAATATTCCTAGAGGCACCGTTGGAAGAATAGTTTGCAAGTTTAAAGTTGAAGGAACAGTGGTTACACTACCAGGATGGGGCAGAAAAAGGAAGCTATCAATGGCTGCAACCAGATTTCTGAGAAGGCAGGTTGGGAAAAAACATTGAGTGATTGCAAAAGACCTGCAGCAAGACTTGGTGGTAACAGGCACTGAGTGAACACAGAAAGGCACATACTAAAGGCAGAAGGTTTCCATGCCAGGATACCAAGATGTACACGACTACTGACCCAAAAGCACAAGTAAAATCAGCTCCAAAATGCTCAAAATCATATAAATAAGCCACAGAAGTTTTGGGATTCTGTTCTGTGGAGCAATTAAACAAAACTTGAACTTTTCGGCCTAATGGATCAGCAGTGTGTCTGGAGGAAGAAGAATGAAGCATATGCCGAAAATAACACTCTGCCTACAATTAAGCATGGTGGTGGTTTAATGATGCTCTGAGGCTGTTTGTATCCTCTGGCACTGGACACTTGGCATGTCGGGAAGGCAAGATGGATTAATTGTAGTATCAGGAAATCCTAGGAGAAAACATCATGCCGTTTGTGAGAAAGCTGAAGCTTGGGTAACATTGGACCTTCCAACAAGACAATGATCCTAAGCATATCTCAAATTCCACCAAGGCAAAAGAAGTCCTGGAAAATGCTACAGTCACTTGACTTGAACCTTATATAAAATCTCTGGTGGGATTTGAAGAATGAAGTTGCAGCACGCAAACCAAAGAATATTACTGAACTGGAGAACATTGCTCATGCACAATGGGCTAAGATTCCTTGGGAATGCTGCCAGAAGCTGCTGTCTGACTATGCATCTCGTTTGCAGCAGGTCCTAACAGCAAAATGGTGCTCTACTAAGTACTAAAGATGCTTTCCATAAAGGGGTTGAATAATTTTGCGATTGGAGAAATCACTATAAGCTGTGTTTTCAGTTGAATTTGGGGAAACCACTTGAAGTATTGTGTCAAGCTATTTCAATTGCTCTTGTTTGATTTGTTCATTGCAAAAGTTGAAAGTCTACATTTTGACAAGAAACCTGATTTTCAATGGAGATTGAATAATTTTAATTACAACTGTATATATTGAACAAAGGGCCTTAATGAATGCATCCCATATTATTTGTTCTTGCAAATGTTGCCATTGCTATTAATGTTTTGGCTTGCAATTGATTCTTTTTTTTTTTATTATTATTTAAGTGAAAAAGGTGTATGGCTAAGATATTCTAGGCACCTGGAACTGCATAACAGGTTAATCGCTGCATTTCATAAATAAGGCTTAATTGTTCATTCTAGTATTTTGTAATATACTTATTGATTTCTCTACGATTCCTCTGAGGACTAAATTTACGCCAATAGCAGTTTCGGCACCTTTGTAATTTTTTGTAAATATTGTATATTTTGTTTGATAGTGGTAGAAAATATATGGAATATACATTGCTTTATCATACATAATCTAAAGTATATATCTGCACAAATTACTGTACAGATCACTGAAAGCACTTTATTAAGTCAGCACTTTAATCATCAAAGGCACTTTAATCAACATTGGCACTTTGTATTCATAAATTGGCAACTCTGCTATTCATAGATGGCCAATATTAGCTTATTCTCAACACTCAATTGCTCCATATTTTTCTTACTGCATGTCACTTTAAGACGTTAATATCAATTCTTATTTGCACTTTCATCCTCTTTTGCAATTTCATCCTGTTTAGCACTTTACTGAAATAGTTGCATCCAATCCTGGCACCAGGTGTTTATCCGATATACTTAATTGTCTTTTTACTTAGGGGGTAAATTATTACTGATTTCATTTCCTGGTACGCTTAGCCTGTCGCAATGGCACCGCCTGCTATGTATTCCCATGGCTACGTGCTGACCTCAATCACGCATTCATGACACCACGTTACGTTTTTGGGGGCAGCGCTTGCACGCAATGCGCCAAGGACCCAGTAGGACGCCGCCGGTGTTGCACAACATCTGGGTGAGTCTATTTTTCACTTAACATTTACCTATATATTTGGTTTTGTTTGCAAATGTATTTTGTGTTTTATGCTGAAGAAGGTCCTAGATGTGGGACTGAAACCTCGATCTTTTAATGCATATCCAATAAATTTAAGTTTTAATGGAGTTTTAGCATGTTTTATCATGTTTGGTCTCATCACAACCTTTTTGGTGTATATATCTATATATTCTATTGAATTCCCTCTGTTTTATTAACTTCGCTAAATAAAATACATGCCTATTTGTCAGCTTTTTTAATAATAAAAATGTTTAAATAATATTCTAAGAAACCTTACCCATACTAGCTGATTGTGGTAAGAGTTGCTAGGGTTGTTGAACAGCAACTAGAGAGATCTAGCAGGATAACCTAAACAAATCACAATGTAGAATAAATTTGAAATCCACAGTTAAAACTAATACAACGAAACATATGTCAAAGCTTATTGAAACATTATTATTGTCAGTGGTAAGTGTATGGTGGGTATAAAGGAGATTATATAAGAAAATGAGATTATTAGTGTGCTTTTAATTAGGGGAGAAAAATAGGCTCTGGGTAAAAGACAGTCTATTCATTGGGTGCTTTGAAAGGAGAATTCAATGACATGATGAATAATCAGTGTAGGAATACATTTCTGTGTAATTAGTTAGAATATAATAGCTAGCATATGATGGGTTTGGTAATAGGTAGAACTTTTTTTGGGTACAGTTCACTTTTATAATTTTGTTATTAATTTTTATCAATGCTTTTATACAGGTCTCATTTTACAAAGCTTAGTTTAAGTTAGTTGGGTTTTACAAATATATACATGTATGAATGTATAAAATAGTAAAGTGTATTCCGTCAGTCAATCCGCTGGGGAGTATGGGAGAAGAGAAATGGAAGTCAGGAGGGGATAGCCGAATACCCTGGCTGCTCTGTGCTGGCTGCAGGCTTCTGCTCTAGGCTTCTGCCCACCCCTCCATGGCCTAATGGGTGTGGAATTTTTTTTGTCAGCCTATGTCCCCCTCTACAGCCCCTGCCCACCACTTCTTTAGCTCCTGTACCACTTTTACAGCCCCTGCCCACCCCTTCTTTAGCCCTTGTGCCCCCTCTACAGTCCCTGTTTCCCTTTCTACAGCCCCTGTGCCCTCCCTTCTACAGCCCTTGTGCCCTCTCATCTACAGCCCCTGCCCACCCCTTCTATTGCCCTAGCCCACCCCTTCTATAGCTCCTGTGCTCCCTTTACAACACTTTTAAATAAATGTCCAAACAAAATAAAGCAAGAAAAACAAACGTTTATGAGCTCACTATAAACTTTGTCAGAGTGCACTTTTTGGCATGCATCTAAGATAGGATAAGTTATTTAGCTCCCCCCTTTATCCACCCATTTCAGTTGCAGACCAGTTCATCATTGTGCAGCAGCAGGAACCCAACAGCACAAATTAGATTGGTCAGACTCCCACTCTTCCCCCTTGTCTGGATGTTGCAAGGTGAGGAGAGCTTCCAACTGCACATAAGTAAATTTGTCATGCATGCCCAATAGATAGCATTCCCATGAAAAGGACACCGATTGCTTAGACCAGTGTCCCACCTGGAGTGTCTTTGTAAAGTTTAAGAAAGGAGAAGCAGGTAAAAAATAAAATAAATAAAAATCATTGTGACGAAGTGCCCTTTGACATTTTTGCCTGGAGAGGACTAATTGCCTTGTGACTATGGCCCCTGGGAGAGTTTGCCCTTTAAAAACATTATTTGGGCATATTGGAATTTATTGCACTGATTCCCCTTTGATTCCATGGGAGAATGTGCCTCTTTCCCTTCCCCTTTTCCTGTCTATTGTTCTCCAGCAGGGCGTTGTCCCAGGGACCCTGCCAGACCAGTTTCAACTGGCTGCTTTGTCCCAACTCAATCTCTCATCAGCCCTTGCAAAACTTTAACCCCATGGCAAATTTACTGTGTTCGTGGTATCTGAGCGCTGTAAACCTATATTGGGCGCTCAGATCTGCGCTATCTGGGGATAGGTTAAATGTGGGGGTTCTGTGTAATATAATAGGAATGATGTATTTTTATGTATTTTTACTGTTAGTGTAAAATGGAGATATTTTTTGTACCTGGAGATAATTGAGTTTACTGCAGTGCCTTAAGCCAATTATCTCCAGGATAGAGGGGAGGGATTTTACTGTGTATGTGTGAGTGGTATTTTGTTAATTAGTGTTCCCATTGGTTTGTGTCCCTTTTGTCACAGTTTACCACCAGGTCCAGGGGGTGTGCCTCTGGCCTGAAAACCTGCATAAAAGAAAGTACTTTGGTACTCATTAAACAGATCTTCTTGACCCTCAATACATAGCCTTGTCTCTTATTGGAGGGAACTGCTATAATCACACTGGGGATTGCTATGCTCTGCATACTCCCTTGAGCTTTAATCACTTAGCTCTTCTAAGAGCTGTTCCTGATACCCTCTCCTGGAGGAGAGGTCTTCCCCACACAGTCCTGGATGTCAGAGGTTCATACAGGGTGGAAGGAAGAGGTCTTTCAAACACGGTCCTGGAAGACAGAAGCTGATCCAGGGTGGAAGGAAGACGGCGAGACTACCAGTTAAGCTACGGCGGTTGTGGAGTCTGTGGTGGTTGTGGTGTCCGGTGCGGTGCTTGTGGTCCTCAGTGCAAGCTAGGAAGCGTCCATCAATGGAAGGTACTCGGTCAGAGTACGGGTCATCCGTTACATTCATATTTACATGTTTTTTCCAGCTTGCACAGTGAGGCTGTCTCAAAGTGATGCATGTGCCTTAAGGCTGATTTCTTGCAATCACTTTCTCAATAAACATTTAGTCAAATAATGCAATGTGGTTTAGCCTGCCATGGTAACAATAACTGCACAGACTTGCTTCAATTTTCTAGTCGGCTGCCTATTTGGCCAGGTCACTTAAAGTAGTAAGACCATTCAGCTCTGATTATTTTTCAGTTAGTTTTAAATGGTTCTCCATTATTATGCTATCACAGGAGGTGCTCAGTAAATATTCCATATACATTATAAATAAGGTTACCATAACCACCATGTTTTCTGGGACACATGTCACAGAATTCAGAACAATGTGCATAAGATTAAGTATTTAAACTATGAAGAATCCTGGAGAATATGCATTAATCATACTGCAAGACAACCCTTTTCATGCATCTTCATAAATATGACAAAATTATGTGTGTCCCAGAAAACATGGTGGATAACCCTGAATACTGTACGAGTGATTTATTTTATTCTCTCTGCACCATAATGCCACCAGCATAAATGTAACATCACACTGAAATAAATTATACCAATTCATGCACTATAGAGGTTGTGTTTCTCTTTAAATTTACATCATGATAAGGTGGAACAGTTTTAAATATTAGGATGAATGACTGACAGAGCACAGAATACTTGTGGAAATATTTAAGTGCATTGTACTTAAAGTTGTCAAAACAAATTTCTTACTGTGCCATAATTCAGCGAGATTAGGTAAATGAAAGGATCTTGCTGAAAACGTGAATGTCACATAAGATGTATGTACATAATTTGATTCAGTGGATCTTGAAATTGAAACATATCTTCAAATCTAAAACTGAGGTTTAATGTATAATTAATCTGTAAAATCAGCCTTACTACAGTTACAAGTATAGAAGACTTACACTCGTTTCTCAGCTTTCCTTCCTAGTATTACAGCATCACATATAAATATACTTAAGTCTATGCTTTCTTCTTACAATACTGCTTTCTATAGTGTAGATAAAAAATATTATTGAGACAGCAGCCACTACCAGTGGGAAACTCACATATATGAGAGCCAAAAGATGCACTTGGCTCTAGTGAAGAGCACTTGTAGGACTGTGAAGGCAGGACTGTCACATATAAATATACACGTACAAGTCTATGCATGTAATAAATGCCTTTATGGTAAAATTAGGTTTTCATAGTGTAAACCATATAAATAACTTAGTGTAATCACAGTTTCATAGATCAACTCACATGGTATAGAGTCAATTACGTTGGTTCCACGCTCTGTTCAATTATCAAGTCCCCACAAAAAAGTTTAGGAGCATCCCTTCAACTCTTCAAGATTTACTGGCAAATTAGATTAAAATAATAAAAACAAGCAGTTCGTAGAAACAGGATATCATGGTTCAAATCTAAATTCCACAATAGGACAAGTAAAGTAAAACTAAGCATAGCGAACTACTAAAATATAAAGCACCATTATCACTGTACTATTATTAGACGATGTAGCGATACATGATGACAGAGTATGTTTTCACCCTGTAACATATAAAATAAGAGATTTTACATAATTTACTATGTATACATCCTAAAATAACCCATGCTCACTGTAATTTGCTATTGTTTTGTGAATATATTTATATCTTTAAATTAGTTGGGTTTCTTATCTTTTTTTTTTTTTTTCAAAACTCCTGTCTAGCATTCTCTGTCACAAGACAGACATCAGGAAGCTACAAAACATGTTATCAAACCGACATTCCAGGTTCTAGATCAAAGGTCAAGTATGGTCCTGGATGAAGATCAGTCACTGTGGAATTGTGGATGTGTGCATAGAAGAGGTTTTATTATACGATGGTACTAATCTATGAAATGTAAATACCATATTATAATTGTATGATAAATTCTTTTGTAATTTGTGTAAGTACCATATCCTACAGGCTGTTATCAATAGCATTTTAAAGGATGAATGAGGTGAAAAGAAATTGAATGACGTTGAAAAGGGATGAATATTAAGTCCAAAAGTAGCATCTTAATCATCAACTTCTATGTGTTAATTTAGAACTTTGCAAGCCCTATTTCACACCATATATTACATTTTAAGCTTTTTGTAGTCTTCTTATAAACATACGTAGTAAATTTATTGCAAATTTCATTATGATCTCTGCTGCCGAGTTCTTTCTCCTATTTGGCCTCTGCTTGCCACCCTTTGGGTGAGTGCCATTTCTAATTTCTTGTGATCTGAAGAATTGTCTCTTTGAAGTTAACAGAGGTCGGAAAGAGGTTTCTGGCAGGGATGATGTGTTCTAAACAATAAAAAGCTTACTGTGTTATTGTATATATTGAAAGCTTATTAGCAATTTTCACAATATTATACTATTCGTTAGCCAACAATTTGTGAGGTTTGTTGAAACCTACATTATGGTTTCCTAAAATACCACTTGGAATTCACACATGAATTCTGAAGGCATGTTGTTACCGTACTGGCAGCCTCAGCTATGAACATCAGCTCAAGTGTCCACAAAATTGTTATTTAATATGGAGCCAAATTGTTACATCATTAAAAATGAGCAATAAATACCATAGGCATGAAAATAATAATAGTCAATGTGCAGAAACAAGACTCCAAAATGCAGCAATATGAAATGAAGAGTTAAACTGTGTGCCCCAATATTTTCCCAATAGAGATGTCGCGAACCGTTCGCGAACTTCCCGCGAACGGCTCGCCGCGGTTCGCCACGAGCCGTTTGTGGCGAGCTCCGGTCAGCTGACACATCCCGGCCAATCTCCAGCAGACACTCCCTCCCAGACCCTCCCACCTCCTGGACAGAATCCATGTTGAAGCTGCCTTCAACATGGATGCTGTCCAGGAGGTGGGAGGGTCTGGGAGGGAGGGTGGTTCGCGACATCTCTATTCCCCAACCCATAAAAACAACCTTGTTAATCCTTAATGGGTAAAAAAAAAGCAGATATTGTTTTGTTTATTTACTCTGAACTCAAGTTTACTCTGAACTCAAGATTAACCATAAGGCGGCCCTTGGAAGCTGTCTTGGGCCAAGGGAGTTAGACAGAGACTCTGTAACCTTGAATTTTCTTGGCTCCATTAACCATAACTATGTGAAGAATGAAGGGGGGGGGGGGCAAACTGTGGGAGCATATGCCTTCTCTGCCCTCACCCCTCTGCCAAAGTTGTACAGTCATTAGTATCCCACTCATTCCATCCATATCCAGAGGTTTTGGATAGGAGTGAATAAAATGTGTTTTGGGCTAATAGATGCTCTCTTTGCTGGTCCATTAGAGTTCCAATTAAAAAAAACTCCAGAATGCCCCCATTCAACATATGTAATTGTGTCTCAAACTGTCAAGATAGGATAAATGTTGTTGTAGGTCACACCAAAACAGGAAAACATGAAGATCAAAGCACTGGGAAAGAAGCCTTTTATAAGTGTGGAGTATGATAGAACATAGGACCCCCTATGAAGCGTATTAAAGTTAGTTATGAACTATAAGGCATATTATAAGTGAAATTTGTTATGTTAGAGAAGTGTGCTCCCAGAATATTCTTAAAAAATAATAATAGTGTTTCATACAATATTTATGTATTGCAATATGTTTTTAAAAAGGCACTGTCACCCATCCCTCCACCTCGAAAAATTTGTATTTCATAAAGACCTAAATTAAATACTCATTCTGACTGTGTTGGATATAGAGACAAAGAAGGAACTACTCTGTCTCTGTATTTCTCCTCTGTCTGACTTTCTTTGACTCAGGGTGGAGTCTCAGAGTCAATTACTACGGAAGGCTGCTGGGGATTGGCTGTTTTTTGGGGGGTGGATCCTGTGGTCTTGCTCATACAGCAGTTACAGCTGCTCTAATGAAGACATGCCAGATTAAGATGGCCACACCTGCGAGGGACTGTTTCAGTTAAGTAAATCTCAACTTTATCTGCCCCTCAAAGCCACCAGACCCCCGAGCGGAGATATCACCATCGGTAACAGTGCCACTTTAGTAGACTTGAAGATTTGCTTTGCTTCGAAGTGCAACTACACTGATTGTCTCATTTATGTGCCCTGGTTTGTATGAATTATTTCCGTTTTGGGTTTTTGGTACTAAAAATTCTGCCAAGCCAAACCAAATTATAACTAAAAATTTAGGTATCCTGAAAAATGCTTTGTGTGAAGGAAACATTTTTGGTTGAATTTTACCATGCACTAGTTTTTAAAATGAGTAAAATAATAAATAAATAAGAATATTAATAATATACATTCCACCAATATTCATGCTTGCTGTTTTCCCCAGAGATGGAGCTAAAGGCTGCAACAGAAGATCTCAGCACTGGAAAAGAGGTGAGTAATATTTATTTAAGTTCATTTTACAGAGGAAAGGGGGTAGACACAAGGGGGGTGGACAGAAGGGAACAATTGTTATTTTTGGGACTATAGGTTCCCTTTAAAATCAAATGTAACTTCTTTGTGAGTTCATTTCAAAGGATTACATTTCTTTACACTTCTAATCAATGCTCAAATTACAAAGGGGTCTAGATTATTACGAAGGTGTCTAAACTATTAAACATTTTGGTAGGAGGCAGATAATTTATACAATTCATATGTTCCAGTGGATCCAGAAAGTCAGGCCAAACCAGATACACTGTCTAATCTTTAAGCATGGACTATGGGATTTAGGACACATGTTTAACCATAGACATAAATCCAGAAACTGTTCGGTAGAAATTGAAGTAGGTAGTCACAGGATGTTTTCACATTAATGGGATATTTACTTATCTATTTATTATATATATATATATATATATATATATATATATATATATATATATATATATATATATATATATATATATATATATATATATATATATATAAAACAAACAAATACCTTGCAGATATCATATTAATGTATCTACAAACTCTTAAATCACTAGAATGTTTTACTAGATTAGTTAACCATAATTTATGCCTTTTATATGATTCAACCTCCTCCGAGAAGCACAGATAATGAAGGGCAAGTTAGGTTGCTCCATTGTTATGATTCTTGCTTATTATGCCCACATACAATATAATTATTATATTCTGCTAAAATGTTCAGAATCTACATTACCAAAACACCAGCATGGTCCATACAAAAACTCATAAGCAGGTTATTTAAGGAATGCAAGACACAGGAGACCATATATTTTCAAATACTTCTTTCCTATGCTTCAATATTTTTACAAATGGCAAATGAATAAATTTTTTTTACAAGTTTCTACATTTATAAGAATGTAAATTTTTAGGTGCCCCTAAAGAACAGTATGTAACAAAATTGTACAAAATTACGTGTTCATATATGTTGAAATGCAAGGTATGCATCCTATTTTCAATGTTTTTTTCAGTGTTTTTTTTTGTAATAGAAATAAATTACTAAGAATTTAAATAGTTTAGTAGCAGGGAATATTATACCTCCATAATATCACTAGCATTTGAAGGAGAAATGCCCAGTTATAAACCTTATTGTTACTAGACATATAGGAGATGCAGTGGACACAACAGAATGCAGTACAAAATGATTCTATTTTGATACTTTTATGCTCTACATCATGCATGTCAAACTCGCAGCCCTCTGGCCGCATGCGGCCCACAACTAATATGTTTGCGGCCCGCGGGCTGTGGCGAGGGAGCGCTGAGTGTAAGTTCTCCCTACTCAGCACCCTGCAGTGATGCAGGGAGACAGACTTTGACGTCACTCCGGCTCTCTGCATCACTCTACGGAGCGCGAGGGAGCTGAGCAGGGAGAGCTTACACTCAGCGTTCCCTCACCTCTTGTCCGCCCTCAGCCTGCTCACCCGCCTGCCCAGCAGCCCCACTAGACCCCAGGTAAGAAATCCACCAGCTCTCCCAAAGGTAGGGAGGTTGGGCGGAATTAAAAAAAAAAAAAAAAAAGAGTGTTGGGGGAGAAATGTGTGTTTGTGTCTGTTCATGGGTGTCTGTGTCCATGGCTGTCTGTATGACTGTGTGTGTATGGATGTCTGTGTGTGTTTATATCTGACTGAATGGCTGTCTGTGTCTGTGTATGTCTGGCTGAATGGCTGTCTGTGTGTATGGCTGTCTGTGAGTCTGTGTCCATGGCTGTCTGCATGGCTGTCTGTGTGCATGGCTGTGTCTATGGCTGTCTGTATGGCTGTGTGTATGTATGGCTGTCTGTGTGTGTGTGTGTGTGTATGGATGTCTGTGTGTGTGTATGTCTGGCTGAATGGCTGTCTGTGTTTATGGCTGTCTGTGAGTCTGTGTCCATGGCTGTCTGTGTGTATGGCTGTCTGTGTGTATGGCTGTCTGTGTGCATGGATGTCTGTGTGTGTCTGTGAGGAAACGTGTGTTTCTGTGAGTGTGTCTGTGAGGGAGCCTGTGTGTCTGTCAGTGAATGTGTGTGTCTGTGAGTGTATGTATGTGTCGAAGTGATTCTGTGTGAATGTCAGTGAGTGTGTCTCAGTGAGTGTGTATGAGGGTTTTAAGAAGTAACGGGAGGATACACTTTTTTAAAGGTGCAGATGGGGCCATTGGGGGTATACCAGAGGCCAAACTCTGGACACTGCTTGTTGGCTAATGTTGTTGTTGTTTTTTTATAAAACAGGGCAGGGGTTTAGTAGACATGAGGACTGGGATTTAGTAGACGAGGGGGGGCTAAGATTTAGTAGACGGGGGAGACTGGGATTTAGTAGACGAAGGCGGCTGGGATTTAGTAGACAAGGGGGGTTGGGATTTAGTAGACGAGGGGGGATGGGATTTAGTAGATGAGTGGGATTTAGTAGACGAGGGGGGGACTGGGATTTAGTAGATGGGGGGCTGCGGTTTAGTAGATAAGGGGGGCTGCTATTTAGTAGATGAGGGGGGGCTGGGGTTTAGTAGACATGGGACAGGGGGTTTAGTAGAGGGGGTCGCTTTTTTTTATTCTGTACTTTTCAAAATAAACCTACGTTTCTATGTAAATTTAAGTTTTGGTTTTTTTTGCGGCCCACATAAACTTAAACCTTATTTATTTGGCCCTTGCTAGCCTTTGAGTTTGACATGCTTGTTCTACATAAACCAAAGAGCAGATTATATCCCTCATCGAATCAACTTTGCTAAAAAATAAAGTGCATAAAAAGTCATTAACTAAAGTTCAATCTTAGTTTCTTCATGTCTGTTCAAACATTCATTTGTAGCATTTTGTCAGTATGTATACAAAAAAATGATATATTACTAATTATTTAACAGCAGGTTCCAGGAGCCTCTCGCATTTTAAATATGGCTTCCTGACACCCACAAATCATACACAATATGCCAGAAATCAAACATGTTTTAACATACAATGTATGTCAGATTGTGTGTGTGTGATTTCAAGGATATTGTACATGATATGAAGCCACTCGAGAATAGCATTTTAAGAGTATGACCATATCCCTGTAGTATCAGCCTGTCACTTCCTCCCAGCTTCACAGAGTGCTGTGCCAGAGTATTGGAGGGAAAGGTGGAGGCTGAAGGCAGCGGCAGTACAAGGAGCATGGAGGCAGAGGAGAAGCTGGAGTGAGCTGCTGCAACATGCTCAATCCCATCAGCCACAGCCAGCATCTACAGGACCCCAAGCAAGCTACTTTCCTGCACACAAAAGGTAAGCTAACAGGAGGGTGACTGCAAATATATAAAGTATGACATGTATGTGTTTCTGTGTGTTAGGTTGTGTGTGTGTGTGTCTGTATCTGTGTGTGTTTCTGTGTGTATGTCAGTGTCTGTATGTGCAAGTGTGTGTGTCAGCATATGTCAGTGTGTATCTGAGTGTGTATGTGCAGTGTGTATCTGTGTATATTTTAGTGTGTATATCTGAGTGTGTGTGTGTAAGTGTGTGTATCTGTGTGTCAGTGTGCATCTGAATGTGTGTGTGTATATGCCAGTGTGTGCATTTGTCAGGGTGTATCTGATTGTATGTGCCAGTATGTGCATCTGAGTGTCTGTATCTTTTTGTCAGTGTGTGTATCTGAGTGTATGTGCCGTTATGTGCATCTGAGTGTCTGTATCTTTTTGTCAGTGTGTTTATCTGAGTTTGTGTGTCAGTGTGTATCTGTGTGTCAGTGTATATTTGAGTGTGTTTGTTCAAGTGCATATCTGTATGTCAGTGTGTGTATCTGAGTGTATGTCCCAGTGTGTGTTTATTAAGTTGTGTGTCAGTGTGTGTGTGTGTCAGTATGTATCTGAGCGTGTATGTATATGTTTGTCAGTGTATTTCTGAATGTGAACATGTGTAGGTGTGTGTATCGGTGTGTATGTGCCTGTGTGTATCTGTATCTGTGTGTCCGTGTGTATCTAAGTATGTGTATGCACCAGTGTGTGTTTCTTTTTGTGTATATGCCAGTGCGTGTATCGGTGTCAAGGTGTTGATACATGTTTGGTGGCTGTGTTTGTGTGAGTGTGGGTGTGGGGGGTGGAGGGCACAGTTGCTGGTGAAGCCACCTCCCTGAAATACATGTTTGCATGTTGGGAGGTCTGTATATATATACAGACCTCCCAACATGCAAACATGTACCCATCTGTTTACTGTAATATATTGGCAACCATAGGTAATTTATTATTGCAACCTCAATTTATTAATTAATTGTGATGTACATCAAAGTGCAACACATCGAATATACATTATTATGGAATTAGTTACCATGGTGGTTAAAGATAACTACATATCAAGTCTACTCACCAATAAGAATACCCAAAGCAGGAGGGTCTCACACCACTCTTCACTCATCCTCCTGTAGCATCCAGCAACACATACCTTATGCTCCTCTGTTATAGGGGGTCCAGCCCATGTCAATTTGGTGTTTATCCCTTAAAGGACCACTCTAGGCACCCAGACCACTTCAGCTTAATGAAGTGGTCTGGGTGCCAGGTCCAGCTAGGCTTAACCCATTGTTTTATAAACATAGCAGTTTCAGAGAAACTGCCGGGAGATGGAATATGACGTAATTCAGGCCCCAGCATACTAAACAGTGGGCGGGAGGAGTGAGGAGCTACCCCACACTGGACCCCAGGGAGTTTAGTGTTTGACTGTGAGTGTGTTAGTGAGTGTCTGCCTGTGTGTGTGTGTGTGTGTGTGTCAGTGAGTGTATGTCTGTCAGTGAGTGTGTGTGTGTGTGTGTGTGTGTCTGTCAGTGAGTGAGTGTATGTGTGTCAGTGAGTGAGTGTATGTCTGTCAGTGAGTGTGTGTCTGTGTTTCTGACAGTGAGTGTGTGTGTGTGTGTGTGTGTGTATGCCAGTGTGTGTCTGCTCAGCTGCATATGCAAAATTATCTGATAGGAACAGAATATTGAGATTTGAATTTGTGCACATTCCTTAAAATAAATGGAAGCTTTCCGGGCAGTCAAGAGTTAAGAGAATTGCTTCTATTCTTTAAAAGCTGGAAACTATGTTATTAATTCCAGCAATGTGGTCTTTCTAGATCACTACTTAATCATTAATTAAACAAATTTAAAAAAATTAACAGTGCAGAACTTATTTTACCAAATGATGTGTGCAGAGAATGGCAAAGATATTTTTGTGAACAATTATAGTACACATTAGAGAGACCTTGTTAATAACTTTAAAGGGACATGCATCCCTTCATCTCTTTCAAAAACTTTAGGACTGCAGGATGAAAGAAAGGAGAACTATGATTTTTCTTTTCATATTTACCTACTTCTTCTTTCTTATGCTTCATATTGCAAGGTGAAGAAAATCTATTAAATTGTAAAAAACAAATTCCATTCAAAAAGTACCTTACTCTGAGACTTAGAACAAGTCACAAATCAAACTGCAGGTAAGATAAATGTCATAGTTTTTACATTTTTCATAATTCTTGGATTCAGACCTTATTCTGTTTATTCAGTTTTTTCTGTCAATATTGTGTTTGCACAACTGCAGGATAAAGTAACTATTTGTGTCAGTTTTCTGATGGAATTTATTTTCCTCTATGAAATTTATATGTTTGAGTTGCCCATTATTTTAGTGCACTTAAAGGGATATTCCTGGATTATAACAAACGTTAATTAATCTGAAAGTACATCATGTAAAAAAGTATCCTGCTTTCATTGCAGGATGGTAAACTATTGCACATTCGTTGCATTTTGATGTCTGACACGTCTAAGATAAGTGACGAAATCGCCATAAGGGAAAATATAGCTCTATGTTTCCTTAGGTTTAATTAATATGCACACTGTCAAATAGGTTTTCCATAAAACAACACACAATAAACTATGAAGTAACTGTGACATCTTACGGTGGAGCAAGAAGTGGTAGTATGTGTTCATGGTGTTCATACAAAGTTACATGGAATTTACAGATTTATACATGCATTTTTGCTATAGAAAACCCAGGGCATATCCCTAGCAGAGAGATTTCAGCTATGTAGTGTTTTAGATGCCACCATGTAACGCGGAACATTCTAAAGTGAATATCTTTTTTTCCGTCTTTTTTTCTCTTCATTATATTATATTATATTTAATTATATATAAATGAATATTTAATGCCTTGTATGCCTTTAGGACATTTAAAAAAACAAAATACAGATACTAACTCGTAGCATCCCTTTAAATGCGTGTAACATTACAGAAAAAAAAAGGTTTGTATCTCCAAATGTAAGCTAGTCCTATTAAATGGGTGATGCTTATGGAAAGTGTATGCTGCCATCCATGATGTATTTATAGAATTGTCTCGTGTTAAAAGGGAAATTTGTTCATAGTGACAATGAAGGATTAAATGTGTATGTGTCTCAAGGCTATGTGAGAGAACTTTTCTTGTGTTCTGCTCTGTGTTTCTGTGTTTCATGCAATCTTACCATGAATATATTCCCTACGCAGGAAACTAAAATAGTGACAAATAATGACAGGGAACTCTTCCAAACAGAGGAGGTAAGTTTGCATTTTCCCCAACATTTCTCTTTAATTTTAGGGATGTGAGTGTAGAGGGGGGAGGGGCAGGGGCAGAGCTATGCTGAGAATTTTTTTTTTTGCAATTTATATTTTATTCATGGTTTTATAGTTTGACATCAATAACTGTTATTTTATGTAATGCGTACGTCGTACGTATAAATCATATAACATTTAACCAATAGAATGTAGATGTTCATAATCCCATTATGGGAAGGAAGCAGTGTCAGATACATTATCAACTTAAACGGCCATGCAGTTCCCCCACCTCATTTTCTAATTGACCTGTGGTCCGATCTCCCCCCTTTAGCTTCAGAACTTGGGAGTTCTAATTGGTGCTGCGCCTGTACCCGTTGGACCCATTCATGTGGGCTATGATCTCTGGGGACCAAGCGTGCGCAAAAGTAGAAGTATTGGTCCCTTCTAGTCTGCCCCGGATCAGAGGTCTGCTGCCAGTAAGCTACATCTGGTCTCACACTCTGACAGTAACATCTCTGACTCAGTGCCATGCCCTAGTACATATGCGCTGTCGTTGCCCCCTAGTGAAACAAGCTCTAGGGCCCGTTTCGGGAGCAGTCCAGCTCTAAGGCCTCATTTAAGCACTGTGCAAGTAGGGAAATAGATGCTGCAACCTGTTCCTCTGCTGTGTCTATACTCTGCTTGTGTAACTTAATGGCTATAGATTTAGGAAATGCATAATATTCATTTATGGGTGCTATCCCTGCTGCCTCTAACTAAGCTAGTAACAAGAGTGTCGTTCTGCAACATATTTATATGGCTGGTCAATTAGGGTCTATAGTGTTCAACAAGTATGTCCTCCACCGGTTTAAGCGGCTGTGTTCCCATCTTGAACTAAGTGTACTTAATGACTCTCTGCAGCCACAGTCCGGTGGTTGCATATGGTAAAGTCATGGGAAACCTACATTTTCTTGTTCGTGGTTACTCCAGTAGGTCTGCACACGGCGCGGTTTAGGATCTGTCCTTGGTTCACTCACCTCTGTGCCAGTCCATGTCTTCACGTTTGTCTGACATGTTTAAGATAAGTGACGAAATCGCCTTAAGGGAAAATATAGCCATAAGGGAAATCGCCATATGGGAAATCGCCATATGGTAAAGTCATGGGGGAACCTACACTTTCTTGTTCGTGGTTACTCCAGTAGGTCTGCACATCGGCGCGGATTAGGATCTGTCTTTGGTTCACTAACCTCTGTGCCAGTCCATGTCGTCACGTTTGTCTGACACGTGTAAGATAAGTGATGAAATTGGGTATGACCCTCTGCTCTGTTTGGAGGATCTGGATACCTCACCTCTGGGCGCTGGTGTCAGCTTTTTGATCTTGTTTCCGGGTGATGTGCCTTGCCTGTGTTTGTTAATGTTCTCCTGTTCGGCTGGTGTGTTGGTGGGTGGTGGAGCTTTTTGCTGCTGCAGCATAGCCAGACCCACGAGTCGCAGGAAGCTGTCAGAGTCGTCCTCTGAGGTTAATGTGTGGCTCTTGCCTTTGACATCTGTTGCAAGGGACCCCAGTAGTACCTTATATTTGCGTCTCTTAATTTCTTGGCTATAGGTGCCAGTTTTCTTTTTTCTACAAGGGCAGGAAATGGTGTATCCAGGTAAATAGCTACCCTGTGCCCCTTCTGAAGCACTGACCCTAGTTCTCTAGATCGGGTCATTATGGCAGCCCTCACAGAGATGTCTCAGGTTACCACGATGATGTCCCTGGGAGCTTCACTGGGTGCCGTTGCAGCTTTTCTTACTCTAAATGCTGTGGTGATCTGCATCTTGTCTGTGGCGCTTTTGACACCCATGGCTGCTGTGAGATCTTGGACATAGTGTAAGAGCTGTGTGTTTTCCACTGATTCGGGGACACCCCTGAGGCGCAGGTTTTTATGTCTTTGTCTCGCCTCCATGGTGGTCACTGTGCATCTCAGGTCTTGTACCTGTGAGGTGAGCTCCAGCAGACTCTGGTCTGTGGCTCGGATTTTCCCATCTCTGGAGGCCTCGTGTGTTTCCAGGCCTTGGACTATCCGGCGTCCTGCTTCCACATCAGTCTGGACCTTCTGTAGGTCTTCTCTCCAGACCTGCCTCATCTCAACCAGGATCTTTTTTATATCTCCCTTCGTGGTGGGGGCCTCGTCTTCCTCTGTTTCTGGCATGTAGGATCGGGCATCCAATCTAGGTGAGGGTAGCGATTCCTCTTCCTCTATGGAGGCTTCAGATGCCTCGGGTGAAACACAGGCTACAGGCGCCATTTTAGGTCTCTGTGGGAGTTTGAACGACAGCCTGATATCGGGCTGTCTGGGCACGGCAGAGCCCTGGAGCTTCTTATTTTTCTTCCCCATTCTCTCTGCTTGGGGGTAGTTCGTATCTCTAGTAAAAACTATTATTTTTTTCATGGCCTTAGTCATCTATATCCAAGATTAGAGCCTATGCTGAGAAATTTTTAGTGACTTACTAATAATTAAAAAGAAAATGTAAGGTAGAACAAAACCTATGCATTTTATTTACAAACACTGATTTCTAAACATATTTATTGTCATTTTAATTACTGTGAGTGATATGCCTTGGAGCTCTGTGGAGCTCTGTTAGACACTCAGACACATCAACACTATGGAGCTCCTAGAAACATTATAATAGAAAATAGGGACTGTCCCTCCTAAATAGGGACACTTAAGAGGTACACGTTTAGATCAATTCTAGGGGGTGATTTAATTTATCCATACAGTGAACAGTATGCTTGGGGTAAGGTATAGCAATAGAAGACTGTTTTTCTGTTCCAGAGAAGGGAGGGATTTTTTGTTTTTCTGCTTATTTTCCTGCCAAACCAAGTTAATCTCTGAAATGTGTTAGAATTGGCAACACTGCAGTTCAAATCTGTGCTTCAAAAGAAACCCTATGTTTGACAGTAATTGTGTTCAGTTTATTAGGAACATTACGCAATTTCTCCATATTTCTTTATCACATAACTTTTTTCCTACTTGGGAAATTGATCATATGTGTTAACGGACAAATTGTATTGAATAAAAAGTATTTGGAGACAAATCTTTACCAAGAGGGATATTCTAATCTCTTATGTTTGAAAATATGGTTGTGGCATATTCCCTATTTAGTACTCAATTACAGTAAAAAAATGTTACAATAACGACTGCTGACATTTTTTATTCTTTATATACCCAATGGGTTTATTTATTAAACTTACCTGAAAACTGAATTGCAAAATATAGGCTGAAATAGCTGATTTGATACAATTCTCCAATTTGGCAACAATATAGACAGATAAGAGTTAAAGTACTGAGACAGTCTGTCAATTTCTTAGCAAAAAATAAAATAGGCTTGAGTATTTTAATTTATTTTTCATAACAGCAGAGTTTTTATCGCAATCTTTACTGAAATTGTCTGTATTCATTCTCTGCCATGCTTACAGGAAAACTATTTCATGCATCTAAAACTGTTAGTATAAACAAGCATTTCCTGTCATTACTCCTTAATATTCCCATCCAGAAATATAAATTAATTTGTTTTGTTTTTCTTGACAGTGTGACAGTACCTTTACCACACATATACAGGGTTATTTACTAAAGTGAGAATTCAAAGTGAATTTTAAATTTAACCCCTTAAGGACCGAGGACGGTTCAGGACCGTCATCGGCATTTTTGCCTTGCCGACCGATGACGGTCCTGAACCGTCCAAACGGTCTGGGGCTACTTACCTGATCGCCGTCGTTCCCCCGGCGGCGATCAGTGTTCCTTCGGTTGTGGGGAGACTGCCTGCAGCCCAGACAGTCTCCCCACGGCAGATTAGGACCCCTGTGGCCATGTGATCGCTTAACACAGCGATCACATGGTCACAATAGGTGTCCATGTGTCTGCCTGCAGGGGGACTGTCTGTACTGACAGGCAGTCTCCCTGCAACTGTAAAATCAGAAAAAAAATTAAAGTTAATGGTAATAAAAAAATAATAATAATTATATATGTATAAATATGATATATAGACATATATTATATCTATATAATATATGTCTATATATCATATATATAATGTCATACTAAGTGTATTTTTATATTAATATGTACTTATATTAATATAAAAATACACTTATAATTAAATTACACACGTATATATATAATATATATAATAACTATATATATTGTATATATATATTATTATAAAATATAAATAATTAATTTAAATTAAATAATTTTTTTAAAAAATAATATTAAAAAATTTAAAAAAAATTATATAGCTATATGAAATTTTATTCTAACTGTATTTTAAAATTAATATATATATATTTATATCAAAATACACTTAAAATGAATTTGTATATATATATCTATGTATATATAAATAAATAAAAATAATACGAAATATACATATGTCCATATAAAAAATTACATAAATAATTATATAAATATACACGTAGACTTCAAATATATAAATATGCATATATATTTAAATTCTATGTGCGTATTTATGTAATATTTTACATAATTCAGTAATTTTATTGATTGCAATTTGAGGGACCTGCCTGCCCACCCAGGCCGAAATTCCAGAGAATTTAATTTGCTAGCACTGTATTTTACCCTGTAACGTTCTACGACACCCTAAAACCTGTACATGGGGGGTACTGTTTTACTCGGGAGACTTCGCTGAATACAAATATTAGTGATTCACAACAGTAAAACATATCACAGCGATGATATTGTCAGTGAAAGTTACTTTTTTTGCATTTTTCACACACAAACAGCACTTTTACTGATATAATTGTTGTGATACGTTTTCCAGTTTTTAAACACTAATATTTGTGTTCAGCGATGTCTCCCGAGTAAAAAAGTACCCCCCATGTACAGGTTTTATAGCATTTTTGAAAGTTACAAGGTCAAATATATGGGTCAAATATTTTACATTGAAAATGGCCAGGTTGGTTACGTTGCCTTTGAGAGCGTATGGTAGCCCAGGAATGAGAATTACCCCCATGATGGCATACCATTTGCAAAAGAAGACAACCCAAGGTATTGCAAATGGGGTATGTCCAGTCTTTTTTAGTAACCACTTGGTCACAAACACTGGCCAAAATTAGCGTTCAATTTAGTTTTTTTACTTTTTCACACACAAACAAATATGAATGCTTACTTTGGCCAGTGTTTTCGACTAAGTGGCTACTAAAAAAGACTGGACATACCCCATATTGAATACCCTGGGTTGTCTACTTTAAAAATAATATGTACATGTGGGGTGTTATTCAGAGATTTATGACAGATAATAGTGTTACAATGTCACTATTGATAAATTTTAAAAATGTATGTTTTGAAACCGCAATATCCTACTTGTACCTATAGCCCTATAACATGCAAAAAAAAGCAAAAAAGCACGTAAACACTAGGTATTTTTAAACTCAGGACAAAATTTTTTCATTCGCTTTTGTAGATGAGTAAAAGATTTTTCAAGTAAAAGTCAAAAAACATGTATTTTTTCAATTTTTCATCATATTTTTTTATTTTTTTTAAATTAAAATACATGAGATTATATAAATAATGGTATGTAAAGAAAGCCCCTTTTGTCCTGAAAAAACAATATATAATTTGTATGGGAACAGTAAATGAGAAAGCGGAAAATTACAGCCAAACACAAACACCACAAAAGTGTAAAAATATTCCTGGTCGCAAATGTACAACATCGCAAAAACAGTCCAGTCCTTAAGGGGTTAAAGGGACACTATAGTCCCTAAAACAACTTTAGGTTAATGAAGCAGTTTTGCTGTATAGAGATTGTCCCTGCAGTCTCACTGCCCAATTCTCTGCTATTAAGGAGTTAATTAACTTTGTTTGTACAGCCCTAATTACACTTCCCAGCATGTAACATGCACAGCCTTCCTAAACACTTCCTGTAAAGTGAGGTCTAATATTTACATTTCATTTATTGAACAGTCTGTGCAATTTAGCATTTCTAAATTGGAGTATTTAGAACTTAAATTTGAAATTCACTTTGGATTCTCAGTTTAGCAAATAACCATCATGACAGTTGAAGATGTACACATATACATCATTAAGGACAACTTGCTTTCATCATTCCCAGATAGTCCACTAGTATTGCATAGAAACTGGACACATAATACATAATCTTTCCTTGTCCTGACTCCTACTCTTCATCTGTTCCTGTCAGCTCTGCTGATATGACTGATCTACCCCACATAGACACAACTATGTGCCCTAGAGCTGTACAGAGGCAAAATGAAATATAGGCAGGGTTATTTGTAAAATCCAGTGTTGCAGTAAAAATTAAGGTAATTGGGATTATATGGATTAAATTTAATATTATTGGTTTATATTTCCAAATGATAATTTACTCAGTGTTGGGAGGCAAATGGTTTAGTGGTTGTCCTTTATGCAACATTTACAGAATGCCTTTTCTAGGTGATGGCTGGGTCGTATCGAAGACGTGTTAAACACTGCTTTGGCATGCAAAGTGTTAGTCCCTTAAAACTGTGCAAAGCGCTTTTCTGACATTTTTTTAAAATAATTCTTTATTTATAGATTCTGAGTAAGTACCAGTATTTGGGGGGAGGGGTACAGAAGAGAGAGAGGGGAGAGTGAGGGTGGGGTATAACATTGCCTTCCATTCGCATGTGTACCATCGCAGGGTACTCTTTCAATCATTTTATTACAGTCGCATAAATTGGTAATTCGACAATGGGTTGTGGGTTTTGTGAGTAAGGTTCGTTTTAATTTACCCTTATCGGTCAACTTTCTGTATCTGTGTACGCCTATGTTTCATCCGTGTAAGGATGCACTAGGGTGGAGAGAAGGGGGTCAGTTCGGGTTGAGTGCCCGGAGGTGGGTTTGTGTGCTTTTCCGACAGGGTTGCAGTTGGTCACCTGTTGAGTGTTCTGTCCTGGGTGACATGTCCCGTTCAAAGGTGTGTCTTTGGGGTGAGTGTATGGTATTAGTGGGTTTGCCCTGTAAGCTTCATAGGTGGGTTACTGGGGTGACCGAGGCAATGTCCCTGGTGTAGTCCATTTGGGTCTTGTGTTGTGATGGGTTCCCGGGGTAATGCCTCCTGTGGTCTCTCCGGTGGTCCCCGCCTTTAATCCCCATGTGTCAGTCTTTCCTTTTAAGGTAGGAGTTCTGTGTTTGTCTGCATGTCTTCCTAGTTCGTGGATGCCATTTGCATCCTTTTTTGTGGATGGCTTGGGGGTGGGGTGAGGTAGGGTGTGGGTTGGGATGACATTGGTGTAGGGGTTGGGGTTGTAGCCTGTGTACCGCCCGGGTCGCGGCGCCCTGTCATTCAGATTCTAAGGGAGCCGTGTATGGTGTGGGGCTGGTGGTAGAGTTGAGGTGTGTTTATGAAGGAATGTGTGCTGGTGTCCTGGGTGTTTGTCCTGGGGTTGTGTAATTACGTCTCAAGTTTGGATGGTTCACCACGGGGTGGTTGTGTCTCCCTCTAGCCATGGGTCCCATATTTTGTGAAACTGTTTGGGAGTGTCTCGAATTTGTGCTGTAAGTTTGTCCATCTGTGAGCTTTCCACTATCTTTCTTGTGATCGTTTCTTGTGTCGGAATGCGGGTCGTGGACCAGAGCTCTGCTATGGCTCTGTGTGTTGCTAAAGTGATTCGGGTGATCAGCTTGTTTTCTGCTCTTGTGAATGGTTCCATAGGTTTGGAGAGCAACATGGCCCAGGGGTCTGTGGGGCAGGGTTTGTTCAATATTTTGGTTATTAACTGAGCGGTGCTCTGCCAAAGTGGCCGGAGTTTCGGGCACGTCCACCAGCCGTTTCCCCACATTGTTTCCAGCAGGTGTTGGATGGGATGTGGTGCATGGTGGCAAGGCGTTGTGGTGTGAGATACCAACGGAATAGCATTTTATATGCTTGTTCCGTGTGTGTCACGCAGGTGGAGATGGAGGCTGTCGCCTCCCATATGTCCCACCAGTCTGTTGCATCGTCTGGGGGGCCGAGGTCTGCCTCCAATGCTGCTATATATGGGAGGGAGCGTTGCGTGGAGTGATTGGCTATGGTCATGTAGATGTCCAAGATTTGTCCCTGTCTGTTCGGGTGGATCGTGCAGTCGCATTCGAATCTAGTGAGCAGGGCCGTGCCAGCTTGTCTGATGCTTGGGGTTGCTGCGAAACTGCGTAGTTGGATATATCTAAAGTCGCCGAACGCTGTGAGGGAGGATGACTCTTTGATGTCTGTGAATTGTATGATTTCGTTGCCCTTGTATAGGTGTCCTATTCTCGAGATGTCCCTGTGTTCGAACTGGGAGAAGTGTTTGGGCGTGAATCCTGGAGGGACCAGTTTGTTCCTCCAGATCGGGGTCATGGGTGAGAGGAATGATGATCATATTTATCTCTCGTTTTGTCCCATAGGTCTAGCGCGTGACTAATTGTGGGTGCGGTCGGTGGAGGTAGGGGTCTGTGTGGTCTGGGGGGTCCCATCTGAATATCAGGTGTTCTAGGTCCACCCATCGTTTCTTCCCAGGTGGTACATGCCATTGCTGTATCTGTGCTAAGTGTGCCGCAGAGTGGTAGTGTGTGAAGTTCGGGAGGCCCAGGCCTCCATATTTCTTGGGCACGTATAGTGTGCACCTGCGTACCCTTGGTTTGCGTCCGTTCCATATGAATGTATCGATTGCCGATTGCAGGGCTTTGAAATCCGGTTTGTGGAGCGGTATTGGGAGGGTCTGGAAGAGGTATAGGAATCTAGGGAGGAGGTTCATTTTAATGGAGGCGATAGGTCCCAGCCACGAGATTCCTAAGAGTTTCCATTTGGTCAGGTCTTCGTGTGCTTTAAGTAATAGTGGGGTACAATTCTTGGCATTTAGGGATGAGGTATCTGCTGAGAGTTGAATCCCCAGGTATGTTATTGTCGTGTGGCGTATCCTCAGCGGGAAAGTTTGTTGTATCCTAGCTAGGCTCTGGGGATCTATCTGTATAGGGAGTAGTTCAGATTTAGTTAGGTTGAGCTTATATCCTGAGAGTTCAGAGTATTCTTGTACTATGGCTAGGAAGGGGCTCAGTGATCGTTCTGGGTTGGTCAGCATATGCCGAGATCTTGAATGTCTCCCCCCGTACTGTGATCCCCTCTATCTCGCCGCTGGAACGCACCGCCTGGAGTAGGGGTTCCAGGGAAAGGGCAAATAGCAGGGGTGATAAGGGGCATCCCTGGCGCGTGCCATTAGTAATGGGGAATCATGGGGGTGGTATGTTGGGCAGCAGGTGGTATGTTGGGCACCCTTGGGGGGCATGGTATACTGCATGTAAGAATGAGGTGAATTCCGGCGGTAGGACTATGTAAGAACGGCCATGTTAGGTGATCAAAGGCCTTTTCTGCGTCAAGTGAGATGACTGCTGTTGGGATACGTCTATTGTTGGCTAGCCATATGAGGTCTATGGCCCTGCGGGTGTTATCCGCGGCCTGTCTGTGGGGGATAAATCCCACCTGATCTGGGTGGATGAGTGATCCCAAATACGGGTTTAATCTATTAGCCATGACCTTGGTCATGAGTTTGAGGTCGACATTGAGTAGTGAGATCGGCCTATTGTGGGCGGGTTCTAAATTATCCTTTCCCAGTTTGGGTAGGAGACAGAAATGTGCGCTAGTCATTTGAGGTGGGAGAGTTTCCCCTCTAAGTGTTGCATTAAACACTGTGCAGAGGTGGGGTAGCAGTAGGGGGCTAAATTCTTTGTAATATAGTGCTGAGTAGCCATCGGGTCCTGGGCTCTTGTTGGGTTTAAAGGATCCTAGGGCCAATGTCATCTCCTCCACCGTTACTTCTTGTCCTATTGCGGCTTTGGCCTCTTGAGACATGGAAGGGAGTGCCAAGTTCTGCAAGAACTTGTCAATTCGAGCGTGAAGGGAGTCTATGTTGTGTAGGGGCTGCCGGGTGTGATTGTAGAGGTCAGTATAGTATTCCTGAAAGACGTTCCCAATTCGGGTTGGGCAGTCGCTAGTGTCGCCTTCCTTGGTGCGAATTGAGGATATCCGTTTGGCCTTGATGCGTTTCTTAAGGCAGCGAGCCAGCATAGTGTCCGCCTTGTTCCCTTTTTCGTAGAATTTTTGTTTTAGCCACATCAGGGCTTTAGAGGTGTCTGCCTGTGTGAGGTTTTTTAGTAGATTCCTTAGTGCTATCAGTTCGGTCAGAATGGTAGGGTGGGGGTGTCTTTTGGGTAAGGTTTCTAGGCGGCGCAATTCCGTCATCGCCTCAGTTATTTGCTGCCGCGTGCATTTTTTCTTGTGTGTGTGGTTAGGCTGATGAGAGTGCCCCTAATGACCGCTTTATGTGCGGCCCACCGTGTCATGGGTGTCTGGTCTAGGCGCACCTCAATTGCAGTTGTTCTGTGTGTTAGGTCGCTGAGGCCTTCTTTGATGGGTGTCATGTGTTTAGTGAATTCTGCTGTCATATTTAATTTTATCTCATGGAGGAGCTGTCTGAGGTCCTCTTTTGTGAGAGGCGTTGAGGTGGCTGTTCGGCTTGTGTCACTTGCCGCCGAGTCAGAATCATAGTCGCGGCCATCTTCCGCACGTGTGGAGCCTCCGTCCTTGCGGGTGCAGAATATCGGCACTACCTCCGTTCCTTGTTTGGATTTGCGACCCCCTCCCATGACTGGTCGGTTGTGTGCCGGGATAGGGGTGTTGTTGACCGAGTGATCGTATATTTCGCCAGGTTTAGGTATATTAGCCTATTGTTTGCCTGCTGGTACGGAGCTCTAAAAGAAAGCAGCTATCTGTACCAGAAGTCAGGCGCCGCCCCCTGCTTTTCTGACTTTTTAAAAATAGGTTCCCTGCTTTTAGAACACAGGGTACAACAATATGATATAACACCCGCTGCTCTGTCTGCGTTGAGAGGAAACAGGTAGAAAGTTCCATGTTGCTTCTGGATTGTGGAGGATGCATTCCCCCCATGCAACTTCCTGGGGTGCTGGATGCAAATGTGAGCCCCAAATATGCCATATTTCTTAAACACTTTAAAAATATATTTTAATTCCACATTTCTGTATGTATTTTTTTTTCTGTATCTATTCTACTTTTCCTTTTTGGCTAAGTTTTAATGTTAATTAACAGATTGGTATCTAATTTGTAAAATAATTTTACTCTGCTCATATTTTGCAAAGACAGCCCTGGAGATTTTGCCGGTTGCAGTGTGGTGCTAACAGGGTGCAGGGAAAGGGTGCCCCATCTTCTTCCACAGGACCCTCTTCAGTTCTTGGCACATCATCTACCAGGAGTACATGTCAGTGCCCGAAGAAGAGTACATCTTGATGTCTACAGAGGATCCTGCAAGAACACCTTTGTCCCATAGTAACGGCTGAGTGCTTGACAAAGCTTAACAGCAGTAGCTTCCCCTTTTTTGTCAACCAGATGAAAATTACATAAGGAAAAGTAGTCACTATTTTGACTTGTGATATCTTTTGAATGCATTAGAATTTTAGTGAAATTCCAACAATGTCAATGTGAGCATTTCATAATGATTTTATCTACATTATATACTATTTTTTTATGGGGGGGAGGAGTGACTGAGTAGCTTTAAAACATATACTATATAACATGCTGTTACAGGTAAACCATTTCCTATTTCTACTGCTAGTTAGGTTTATTCCTCAAAAAAAGTTTTCCCCTCCCCCTTCCAATTCCAATGACAGCCTGGACTGGCATTCGGGCAAAAACCTGTGAGACACTATAGTCATGGGCCAAGGCTGACAGAGGAGATCAAAGGATCTCCCCTGTTGGCCCATGCTGTGAGACGTCACAGTTCTTTGGTGAGGTAAAATATCTCCCCAATTCTTTCAGGACACCTTACTGTAGGAGAGTGGAGGAAGATCTGGAAGAATATATACACTCTCTGGATCTCCTACGCACACACTAATTCCCCTGTACACAAAACACACACCTCATATCTTAACACACACTATACACCCCCTTCACACAATACATCAGCTCACTCTACACACACACAATTCCACAAGCAGCCTCTAAATACATGCACAATACTCTTTTAGTGCCCTTTTGTCCACTGGTATCTCACTTATGGAGAAACAAGAGACAAGCTGCAAGTAAACTCAGTCGTTATACAAACGTGTCATTAAATTCACCTGTATTGAGCAGAACAAACACAGGGCATTTTCCCCTTTTTGCAAGAGCTTTTCAGCAGAGCTTGGAACATGGGCTGTCCTAGTAGAGTATTAAATCGACGTGCTCACAAGTGTGTGTCACTATATTACACTAAAGTAATGTTTCTGGAAAGGATTTAGCAGTTGTGATGATGTTTTATTATAAAAACTGTTTACTAAACCGTTTTGATATAATGTTATTGTTTTTTCAGTATTCTTTTCATTATACTGTGCATATCTTAATGCTAATACTACTCCCTTGCCATTTTCCCTAATTTATATTTATCTCGTCTTCCTTGTACCAGATCACTGTAAGTATCTGGGTGCCACCATTTTGTTCTTCTCTTTCCATAATGTTTAGTTTGACCTTCTGTGAAATTCTTCTGACTGATGGATTGTAAGTAACTTTCCTTGACAACTAAAAATCAACCTTGCTTATGTTCTGCACATTGTCAAAGATCATACTCCAAAGAAATGATGAATTTTACAAAGTAGGATTCATTTAAAAAAAAATGTCAATCTACTAAATTAATCATTTCAGAAATTATGGAAAATGTTATTCTGTTGAACATGTTGCCACATTAGAATGGTGAATTAGGCAAAAAGAATTCAAAAAAATAGGAATAAGTGATTTCAGAAAAGAGCCAGAGTTTAAAAACAGTACATCATCTTTTTTTTTCTTGACTACATTTTCCCATTGGTACCAGAGAGTAGTTAGTTTTGTGTGCATGAGTGATGGTTGCCTTATTGCAAGCTCGTATTGCTTGTTCTCACAAATAAAAGCAAAAATGTCTGACCTGGTAGGTATTTGTGGTGTTTTCCAATAACGTGGTAATGTTGAGGTAGCTGAGATCCGTATATGGGAAATAATGATCGTATCTACTTTATCTAGAAAAGTGGAAAGGAGTTTAAACAAACCAAATTTTGGAGAGAGAGAATTGATAGTGGGTGCAACTGCTTGAATTAGGGATAAAATAATGTCCCAAAATGTTTTTATTCTATTTGCAAAATTATCGATTAGATTTGGTTTAATGCTAATATGTTTAACCCTTTGATGTTATTTTACAACATATGTTAAGTCTCTACTACTACATAGTATTGCTGGATGTTTGCTCTAGAGCATACAACCTATTTATATATCACCAAGTAAATCTTTAAGGGTTATAACTCCCTCTCATCTCATCTCCCCTCCCCCTTCTCTTTTTCTTTATCCCTAAACTATAGAATCACATGAGATATGTTTCTCATTTTTTTCTTTTCAATCCAAAAAGTTAACTGTTAACTACACAAGGAGTAAACTATATAATGAAGTAATTGTACTGTTGTCATTATAAACTAATTTTATTTTTTTTGTTTGTATTCTTTTTGTACATTTGATGTATGTATCTCCATTTCCAATTCGTCTTGTATATATTCAGTATAAAAGTACTGCATATATTGATGTAAAAATATAAAACCTTTAATAAAAAATATTTGAAAAGAATGGTGAATTATTTCTAAGCACTGGATGTGCGTGCTGCAAATCATCCAAATTTGTGAAGAAAATATAAAAAAACCTGTGTATTACAATGTTAATGTTTTGAAATAAAAGATGATTGATCAAACATGCAATAAGCTTTTTGTTAGCATGCTCAAAAATGCATTTTAATATGTTGCACCCTTTTTGTCTAAAGATGTTTTAAAATTATAGCCTGAAGTACTGCAAACTTGCTTTCCAAGATATTATACGTTCTTCAAATGTGGTTCCAAAAACACTTTTAAAATGTTCTAGAGCAGGGGTGGCCAAAAGGTAGAGCACGACTAGTTGTAGAATTACAACTCCCATGATACTTTGCATGCCTTTATAAAGACAAAGAATCATGGAATCTGTAGTTTTAAAACATTTGAAGATCTACCTTTTTGGCATCCCTCTTCTAGAGACCTGGGAGAGTGCCTTTTAAAAATCCCATTAGCTCTATAAAAATCAAATGAACAACTGAATATGAAAGATTTATTGTGTGCATTCTGCTCTGCTCTAACTGGTAGACAAACATGCTGAAATTAGAACGTAATAAATTGGCTATTGAAATATGTATATAGTGTTTCCAAGGACTATGATGTACGCAGAAATATGCCATGTAGGAGTCATGAAGACGCCTTATCTAGTTTGAAAGATTCTGTCATCTTTGAACAGCCATGACGTACGTCATTCTAGTTAAACAAGAGCATTACGATTTTGGAAAATAACTCAAATATTATTCTGTAAATGATTTACACCACACCAAATACACACCAAAACTTGTAGGATAACAGCACCTAAGGGACAAAGTTTTGCATCCCTGTAGACATTTGTGATACTAAAAATCAATATCTCTGTCTCTATTTAAAGTATTCTTATGATAACATCATCTACCATGAATCTAATGTTTGTCTAGAAGTGAGAACTAAAAGTGTCTGTGAACAACAATTCTCAGTTTTGTACCAGATGACATCATTTTTACTTCTTTGAAAGTAATTACCCTGCCAGACAGTGTTGACATATGACATCACCAAGCTTATCATCAGATTGCTTTCCCCCTGAGAAGTTATGTAAATATTTTTTATAAAACATCTAAAAAAATCATAATCCTCTGTGTAATTGATTCAGTAATACAGTGCTATGCAAGGGCAAAGTCCTTGTACTTATCCTTCCATGCTGTAATTAAAGTGCAGTTCATTGATATTTGATGTTTTATAGTTCCAACAGCAGTGCAAACAAGATTACAAGGTAAGGCATTTGGCGGAAACTTGGCAAATATTATGCTAAATTGTCACATGAGCTCCCGGTATTATGTCTGTGGCAGGAATTTAAAAAAAATACTAAATGCAGTTAAAGGGCAAGGCTTGTGTTCTCCTAGTATAAGCATACCAGTGGTATCACTTATACACAGGGCCGGGGCTACCTGTAAGGCGACCTAGGCAGCCGCCTAGGGTGCAACTTAGCAGGGGGCGCTGGACCCCTGCCCCCGGAATCACCGGTGCGGCTCCTCATGCCCCGCCGCCTGAGCACTTTAGCAAGCCTCAGGTGGCGCAGCACTGCTGTATGGGGGCCAGCTGGATTTGAGTAACCGGCAGGAGGAAGCGCTCTGCGTCTCTCAATGTAGCGTGGCCGGGCGGCGTGGAACGCGGGACAGTAACTTCTATTTCCTGTACCCAGCCGCCGGCGGACTGACAGGAAGTGCTCACTCAGTGAGCGCTTCCCTTCAGTCCGCCTGCGGCCGGGTACCAGAAACAGAAGTCCCTGTACTGTGGTTCGCGCCGCCCGGCCACGCTACAAAGGCAGGAGGGAAGAGGAGGGTAAGGACCACTGGGAGAGAGGAGGAGTAAGGACCACTGGGGGAAAGTAGGGACCACTGGGGGGAGAATTGTGATGTCACATGGTAGGCAGGACATATGGGGGGGCGGCAAATATTTTTTTGCACCGGCCCTGTTTACATCCCTTGGTTTCAGTTTGTATAAGGATTATAATACACCTATGGGTGCGAGAATGCATCTTTGCTGTATATCTGTAAGTCCTTGATGCAATTCAAATGCAGCTTTAGAACTAAATGACCTGGTCACCTATGCGTTAAGGTTGAATGATTGAACATGTTGCACTTATACAAATATAGGGCACTTGTAGTGCACTCTAAATGGAAGGCAGTGTTGTTTTCTGTCATTGTGAGCTTTCATCTTATGTCTTACATGAAAATAGTCAGGCTCAGGCATGAAAACAATGTGGAGTGCTTTCATCTGCTTCAATTTTTTGCTGAATTTTTACTATCTGAAAGGACAGTTTATGTAAAGAGAGACTGAATATGCACAAGACAGCTTGATAGACTCATTGCTGCTTAAGTTGGAAACAAAATCAAGACGCCTGTAGATATTGATACGGTGGGCGCTGACTAGATAAGTCAGTTGGCTTTTATGCACTGCTAAATCTACTTTTATATACAGGAAATAAACAAAATTAGACTTCCCTGTTAGTTTCATGGCTCAGATCGAAGAAAACTTCACATACAGCCATCTGAAAAATTAGAACACTGTGCGCATTCAAACACAGCTTTAAAGTGAAACTACAACTATCCAGGAATTTTTGATATTCTATTTACTTATCCGCTATATTTAGAAGATGTTTCAGTGAAGTGTAAAAAAATCAGGGTCATTCACTAGGGTGCCCTATGTTGCTTGGCGTGGAGATGACGTGGACCAATTAAACCACAGGCGAACCAATCTTAAAGCCTGCAGGCCATTATACATTGCATCTATTGTATAGATGGACAAAATTTGATGAAAATCTCCAAATTAAAACTGTAATACCAATTCTCATATTTTATAAAGATAAATACGGTTGGAATTCAGTCGACTCGAGCGAGTCTACAGCAATCACCTAAATGCTTTCAGTGTCCGGAATAAAATCAATACTTTCACATCCAAATCCTATGGAGGTAATAATTTTATTATTAGTTTGATATCCAAGGTCAGCCACTAGGACTCTAGTGAATAATCTCATAAATGTAGAAATTTACACATCTATCCTGAAACTGGATGCCCCCATCTTGGCTCCCAGTCAAACATCACCATAAATGTTTTCTATTTTTCTGCCACATAGTTAACTAAATAAAAATAATAGAACAATGGTTTTGTTCTCCTCCTCATTTGAATTGCGTGCCCTGGCTGTGCCTGGATCGAGCTGGCTATTTAATATATATTTAAAAGTAAACGGAGCATCACATGAGTAAAAAAAACCCACAAGTTATATGATTTTTAATGTTTTATTCAAGGGTGTAATTTCTAGAGATGTGACATGTCTACTTAAAAATGTAATTTTTGCAATAAAAAGAAAAAGGCTTATACTGAAGTTACATGTATACAAAAAAAAGTGCTTCAAACGCACGTGTCCATCCTTGTAAATTATACATTTTTTGTCTATTATAAATAACAGGTGTGAGGTATGTTTAACAAAAATCCAACAGATTATATCACCTCATTTCCGGATATCAGGGAAATGTAAATGGATCATTCCTTATAACATTATATATACAACATTCATTACATGTTTGAATGTTTTAAAAAATCTGCAATCAGTCATGTGTAATAGCACATATGTGGGGTTTTTTTTGTTCTGAAATTACACAAAGGTCATTTATGTTTTGCAAAATTGATGTATTGCTCCATATGCTTTGCCAAAGTGACATAGCTATTTGTTGTTGTTAGATTTTTTATGCATAAGTCCTAGCACAAGCCCAGTTTATAAATTTCCATTGTAAACTCACATCAGCTAATGGTTACTTTGCTCTTTGTAAGTATATGATCGATTTTTTTCATGTGGGCTCCTGAGTAACACAGCACAACATTTGCTTACATGAGATTGGCCAATGCAGTTACTATTCCATGGTTTTGACTATCTCCAGTAAATCCTTTTAAAGTTAGAAAGAAAGTAAATAACATATATAAAATATTGTCTGGCTAGAGATGTAATAATATCACTGCCTATGGTAACATCACTGCCAAATCCTGATCAGACTACCTTGCCAGTAAGTGTAATTGGACCAGACAACTCATTATATACATCTGCCTACCCCATAGCTTGTGATCTTGTTTGAGCCGTGTCTTCTTCACCTCTAAATATCCTCTTTCTATAATTGTAAAGTACTGCTGAATATGTGAGTGCTATGTAAATGCAAATAATTGTGTCATTGTGTGTGTTTGTCCATGCACCCTCCTTTTTGTTGTCTTCTAGTTAAATCACAAAAAAATAAATAGAAAAAGTCCACTGAGAAACCCAGACATAACTTCTAGCATACTGTACTAATTAAAAGTGATCATTCTATTAGATAATTGCTGTTTTAGTTTGCTATTCTTTGGATATTAACACCAGTTGGATATTAACACCAGGGTCTTAAATCATCAGTTCTCAAAAGGGAATGGGTTAATTGTAAATATGTGTCTTTTTGTCTTATTCAGATATTCTGGGAATTCATGTAATATAACCAATAGCCGAATACAATTAAACTAAATAACCCAAGAGAAATCAAATTAAATCAAGTAAAAATTACTTGAAACATGGCTATTTCTGGAAACAGTGTATAATTCATTAAGTATCATATTAACTTGAATACTACACTAGAACAACAAAATGTAACTCCCCTGTGTAGCCCCCAGGCAGTTGGATTCCAAGCTTGATACAAAACAGAACTAAAGTTTCTTTTTTTCCCATAAGATTAATAGCTGTTCCAGTCAACAAAAAAATCTTGCAATGAGCTCACATAAAGAAAGAAAAAAAGTCTCCTCAGGTAATGTGGCAAAGGGTCAGTGTACGTATTCT